TCATTGTGGAACAAATCAATTGAATGGAACTCACCACTCTACATCAACTTCATCGACTACGAGGAAAAGCATCGATAGCGTGGATAGGAAAACACTGTGGAGGCTTCTTCGACACTGCACGGTGTGCCTGAGAAAATAGTTAACAATCATACGGAACTCTTATGATGGATTCAACTGCAAAATCTTACAGGACAGCTAACAGACTCCGTCTAGGTGAAGAGCGGTGTGAGGCAAGGTTTGCTTACTCTCACCCTTTCTCTTTCTCCTGGTAATCGACTGGATTATGAAGACACCAACATCTGGAGGGAAGCACGGTATCAACTGGAACAGTTAGGACGCAGCTGGACGATCTGGACTTCGCAGATGACCTGGGCTCTTCTATCCTTACACGCAACAACAAATGCAAGAGAAGACGACCAGTGTAGCAGCAGCCTCAGCAGAAGTAGTTCTCAATATTCATAAAGGAAAAAGCGAAATGCACCAAACCAAATCACGCTTGATGGAGATTCTTTGGAGGGACGTTACCACCTTTACATATCTGGGCAGCATCATCACGACAACCAAGGTGGATCCGATGCAGATGTGAGGGCGCGGATTGGCAAAGCGAGGGCTGGCTTCTATGCAATTCTGATGCATTTAAAGTTGACAGATGTTTTAAATGTTTACAAATTTCATGCAGAAATTTGAGGTCATTTGAATAAAAAGGACAATGCCACATGAATCTGTGTATCCAAAATTACAAACAAAATATTGTTGAGAAACAGTAAAATGAAAGAATATATTTTACGATGTATTACAATGGATTGATTTTTTGTTAATAAAAATAATCAATAGATTTTTACGTGTGAATATAACCTAAAACGAAGCACTAAAAAGAGAGATATAGATATAGGATCCTAATTAGAATTCAAAATGATCTAGCAGGTCGAGCTGACTGTCAATAACCTTCACTGACTAAACTTGTCTTTGATACGTAAGCTGAGTTTCCTAGGACTAATTTCTGGAGCTTATGACACTATAAATGTAGACTTTAATAAATTTTTAAGAATCACAGATAACCGAAAATGTTAAGTCCAAAGTGATTTTCCGTTAACATTTAGATTGTGGCTAGCTACAAAATTGAAGATAAGTGTTTCTTCCTGTTTAAAATAATGGTTTTGATGTACTGCATCACAGTGTTGATGTTGTCACTTACATCAATCGATTCAGACGTTAACTAGTCATTCGTTAAATCGTTGATCATATGTGGTGATCATATGTTGTCAAGAATACTAAATACAGGAAAGTCCAACCGCCTAGTTATAGTTTAACCAGTTTACTTACATACTTACGCATGTTACCCTCTGTGGCGCACAGGTCGCTGAACACCATTCAGCGACCTACTCAGTTCTCCGCCTCCCTTCCCAGTTCCATCGGACTGCTGCTGATTCTTTTCATTTCTGTCTCCACTTCGAACTTTTCTCCTCTGTTTTCTTCTTTTCCAAGTGAGGGCTCGTCTTGTGAAGCAGTTGGGTGATTTCCTCAATGTGTGTCCTATCCACCTTCAGTGCTTTTTCTTGGTTTCTTCCTCCGGAGAACTCTAGTTTGTTGTCTCTGACAGTAGGTTGTTATTGAACGTGTCTGACCAACGGATCCTCAGTATTTTGCGTAGACAACTGTTAATAAACACTAGTATCTTCTGAATGATGGCTTGCGTAATAACCCAAAATTACTCACCATACCGTAGAAGTCTTGAGATTTTCATTGGAAATACTGAATTTGGTGTTGGTTGATAGTTGTTTTGAGTTCCAGATGTTCTTGAATTGAAGAAATGCAGCCTTTGCTATGTCGATCTGTGAACTAAAATCTCGATCAGAACCACCTTGCTCATCAATGATGCTTCCCAGATATGTGAAAGTTTTTACACCGTTCAAAGCTTATTCGTCAAGTGTGACTTGGTCAGTGCACGTTGTTGTATCGGAGAATCTTGCTTTTCCCTCTGTGTATGTTGCAGACTACAGATGCAGAGGCTGCTGCTACACTGGTCGGCTACTCCTGCATTTGCTACTGAGTGTGAGATAGGAGGGTTGGATTATCTATGAAGTCCAGATCGTCCAGCTTCTTCCGAGCTGTCCTTTTTTTTACCTTGCTACATCCATAACTGTTGACAACTTCGTAATCCAGTCGAACACCAGGAGAAATAGAAAGGGTGACAGTAATCAACCATATCTGACATCGGTCCTCTCGTATTGTGAGTTTGTCAGCAGTCCTCCATACACACTTTTGCAGTCTGATTCATAATAAGAATTCCGTATCATGTCGACTATCTCCTCATAAACACTGTAGTTTCAGAGAAGCCTCCATAGTGTTGTCATTCTATCCACACTATCAGATGATTTTTCTTAGTCAACGAAGTTGATGTATAATGGTGAGTTCCATCCGAATGATTATTCACTCATGATCCGTAGTGTCACCTGCGATTTTCTTGAACGATCGATCCTTAAGGAATCCAGCCTGTCAATCTCAAAGTTGTGCGTCTGCGAAATCTCTCATTCTGTTCATCAAGACTTTGTTGAAGACTTTTGTTGGTATAGTCAGTAGACTGATACCTCTATGGTTCTCGCACCTGTTGATATCGCCATTCTCCAGCATCTCGACGAATTATCCTTATTTCCAGTATGTTGGTACTGGTTCTTCTTCTCAAATCTTGCTGAACAGAGTGTGCAACATCTTCGCAGTTACTACCTTGTTTGTTTTCAATGACTCAATTAGTGTGTTGTCTGGTGCTTCTGCTATGTCATTTTTCATTTGTCTGACGACCATACTGATTTCCTCACCTGTTGGCGGATCAAAATCAATTTGGAGGTCTGTAGATGCTGCTTCGAAGTTGGGTGGGTTCAGTGGGGTCGGTTTACTCGAGAGTTCCTCGAAATGCTCTACTCACCTGTTTCACTGTTCTTCAAAGTCGGTGATTACTTTGCCTTCCGTGTGCTTGACTGGTCATTCTGGTTTACTGTATTTTCCAGTGAGCTTCATCGTTGTAATGTATAGTCATCTGATGTTTCGTTATCATGAGGTTTTTTCTGATATCATTGCTAGATCTATTATATACTTCCGTTTATCAGCTGTAACGCTCCTCTTCACTTGCTTGTTTGCTTCTCTGTATTTGACCTGTGTTATGGTTTTCTCTGCTCTTGTTGCATAGTTATTGATTGCTGCTTTCCTGTTGTTCCTTTCTTGAATCTCATCTAGAGTATCAACAGAGACTCATTCCTTGTGACGGTGGTTGTTGTGGTTCATGACACGCTGAAGGTATAGCTTCCTTGATCCCTTTCCAATTGTTCTTCATGATAGTTTCCTATTCATTGAGTAGATCGTGAAAGGCTTGTACTCATTTCTGAGAGCTATCTTGAGTTTGTTGAGTTTGTCAGTATTCCGAATAAATGCCGTATTCAACGTTTGTGATGCTGTTCACCGCGTTGTTCAGTGCTTCTTGAGTTTCAGTTTCATATTCACCAGAAACAGATGAACCGAAATCTGGTGACTACAAATATCGAGTCAGACAAGCTTGAGAATATCCTAGTCTTGAGTCTCTTGAACTAAAAAGTAGTTGCTATCTCCTTAATACTGAAATCAACTACATGCTTCCAACACTCATTTGAAGAAAACTAAAAATGACATATGAGGCATGTTAACAATTATGTGTTATAGAGTATTAGATTTAAAACTATACGTTTCTGATCAGTTGTAAAATTTTAGATATTTACATTGTCATCCTTCAGTAGTGAATGTTAATGTGAACTCTTGAAAATTTACAGTAGGACTTGCATTTGGATATGTTCGCAGTTAAATGGTTGAAAGTTTCAATTGTTGGAGCACTGCGTGAGCAATCAGACAATTAATTCCCCTTTTAACTTTCTATATGTCCTTCCCATCAATACTTTGTGAAAAGTGAACTTTCTGTTACGCATCTATTGTACTAGGACCTAAATCATCGATCAAGCACTACTGAAGCAACAACTTAATTGATGAACATTTTTACATTTATACATCAAAAAGCATCATATCAACACTTTATTAGTCATCACTTTCATTTATTATTATTATTATTATTATTGTTATTATTATTATTATTTTATAACGATCGTCACATGCCCATATTAAAAACTACTGTTTGAAAAGAAAAAAGAAACCACGTTTTTCCAATTCAAATCACACGTATGCAACTTACAGCAAACCGAATAAAGTTTAATTTCATCTATTAAATTTAAACCAACATCATATTTTTTCATTTTGTATGGATAAAAAAATTTCTTAAATTTCTATCCTGATCTCCCAAACAATGATATATAGCCTGATACTATACTCGAAGATAAGTGAATTCTCTTATTGATCACTTTTAGGACTACTTATCTTCTCATCCTATTTTTTACCAATCATACGACTACTTCTTGAAGGTCACATAATTCACCTATCTTTCTACCAATCGCTGACTAGTAAAATGTACATTCTTGAACATTTAGATTGTATTAGACTCAGGGCTGATTCTCTTTTCAGCAGATGTTCTAATTTTTCTACTTAAAATATTTGTAGGAGTATGTGTAATTGGCAGACTATTGAATTTATCATAAACCAATCAAAGAGAAATTGATATAGGATTTTTTATTGATTCACTCCATTTGATTTAGTAGGCTAGTGATAAACTGTTAGATTTCTGACTCATTCTGTGTATCACTCCGTTCAGGTCCACGTGTTATCTAACGGAGAAACTGCAGGAATCCGTAATTTTCATAATACGGAATATTCATGTACCTGAATACAAACAACAGAACCTGTTAAACTTATTGTATCCAGACGGGGATGATTACTTATCTAAAACGACGCTTCTCATCTGGAGACCTACAAGGCGAATTAGCTGACAAGCGTATGCAGGAGGGATTACCAAGTTTTCTACGATTCGGATCTACCACACAGTCTGGACAACCGTATCAACAGTATCAGCAACAAAGCTCTAATATCCAAACTACAACACAGGCCTATTCAAACCAACCCCAAGATTTTAGTTCAACACATCCTGTAAACTACGATATGAGGTACGGATCTACAGCTCCCAGCATGGCTGAACCCTTCCCGGGTTCTCAGACAACCACAGCTGCAGCTAATCACATTCCTGGGACAATAGGTCGAGGACGTGGTGCTTATCCAAGTGCACCAACTTCACCGACAAGAAGTATGGGGCTTGGTGCTTCACTAATGGGTCCAATGGGAAATCTAACTGGTCAGATATCAAATACACTTATGCGTGGTTTTAATACTGCTGCATCCACTGCTCAAAACATATCTGGAAAAATGTCTTCAAAAGAGCACCAGAAAATACTTCTAGTCATAGATGACACGCAAACCGATTGGTGAGTGATAATTTATAGAAGCATTGAGCATCTGCCTTGTCAAGTATTATATGTAAACTATGATTATTTTGAAGAAGGTAATATGCTTCATAAATATACGTAGTAGGATAAATAAAAACCCTACGAAAATCTATATAAATAAATATATGATTAAGAAATAAAATCATAGTTAAAAATTTTACTAGCTAAGGAGTTGGAAGACAAAAATATCTGTACGCTCTAGCATGGTTTATTATATGCACTCAAAGGGTTGATATTTCTCAATTATCAGCTCTTCTGTATGTCCGTATTGTTTACTAACGAACTCTGTAATGTTATTAGCAATACTCTAAAATGTTGTAAACTAATCTGTAACCCATGGCTATTTTTAGTATCATTTCATGTAATAAAATGTATTGACTTGTTTGTGAACTTCAAAAATTTTTTGTATCGAAAATGTCAGTGAATTTGTGTGAAATGAGGATGTTTTAGTGCTGTGATCCTATGAATTCATAAATAACCAGCTATCTGATAATGTCTTAAAATAGCTTTCAGAATATCACTGTTTGCAAACAACAATATGTGAAAACTAGGTGTCAGCAAAACACAACAGACAAACGGAGTAACAGAAATTATTTGTTGATAAAAGATACAGTTTCCACATCTTATCACCACCTAAATCTAAATAACTAATAGTAGTTTTACCAAGATTATTTGAGTTAGTATATGAAAACTGTTGTTACTTGAAAACACAAGACAATTCTTTTAATATTATTACTATTATTTACAAACAGAAATTATTTTTTTGGTTAAAAGTTTTGCATATAGTGTAAGTTTTAATAAATTTTTTTTCTTGGAGTTCCTGATAACTTGAAATTATTTTCTAACGTAGGTATATATGATTATAACACTTTATGAACAACACCGTTTGAATAAAATCGACGGATGTGTTTTCAATCATTCATCCAATGTATATATTCGGTTAGTCACTAAATATAATAAAATACAAAAGAATGCACTACACCGAAATGCGTTTTTGCTTTGTTCTAAATAGTAGACTTTGATTTTCAGAAAAAGAAATAAATATTTTACTAAACAAAGGTTACCTACTTCACGCTTTTATGTGAAGTCGTTTACAATAAAGTGTATTTTTGAAGTTAATTGTGTTTTTTTTTGAAAAAAAAACACGATTTTGTTAAGTTGATGGATTTTAATTAGTCACTAGTTACATGAATAATTGCGGTAATACCGAGTTTTACTTATTAATACAATGCTACATACATAAAGAAATCAAGCATACATTTATTAATTTCTAACGTTATTGTAATTGATGAGCCGTGAGAATCTGAGTGAATAAGTTTCAACCATGGAGCTCTTCTATGATTATTGCCGGTCCCAAATCTGGATAAAGGTAGAGGATCGAACATGGGGTTAGTGACCTCATCCCCTACACAAAACAACCATGCTGGAAAAAAAACGCTAACCAGAAAACTCAATAGAAGGTTGTTGTAAAAGTTATGATCGTGTTCACTAATAAGCTGTTTTTCATAAAAATTTGTAAATCAAAGTTAAAGCACAAAAGTTCCGTGTTGTGCTCTTAAGTTTTTATACCAACAACAGTTGGATAGTAGTGATAAAATCGACTGAAGTTTGAACCGAATTGTTCATATTGGGGTAGCATGCTTATGAATATTTTTCACTTTAAAGACAATTCTCACCATAAACTGATGTTAGCTCAAGAATTAATAAGAATTAGGAAACAACAAGAAACTGCTCTGGTCTAATTTTAAAGTCTTGATCAGCCCACTCTCATAACTCCCCTAAAGATTATGCTTTGAACTTACAAGTACGTTATCTTCAAAACATTATTTTAGTGTTTTTAAAAATTATTGAACTATATACACTTTATAAGGTACCAAGGATAATGTTTCTCATTTTAAAAATTATCTTAAATACATTTCAAAATGGTTCTTATTCGAAGTACTGACTTATTTGATGTATAGAGTAAGTTATCATCAAAAAAGAATGATAAATTTCTTAATATAACTTCTCTGTTTTGAAATTACATGTGAATGCCTATTAATAAGATCGATTTCAGCTTTCGAGAAATACGAAGTAAATTGAGATTATAATCAATCAATCTGATGGAAGCATATTTAAAGCCATACTATTCTATGAGCTTATTCATTAAAAAAATTTTGTTGATAATTTTGATATAAAATATTAGTTAAAACATTTTGAAAGCGACAAAAATATATTCTGATTTCTCACAAAGTAATAGAGCGATCGATGCTTTCAAAAGTGAAATATCTCAGTAAAAATTATTGTTACTGTAAAATATTTGGAGTGATGAGTTAACTCAATCTCATTTCTATCAAAAATAAAGTTCTTTACTTTAATTGTCTAATATGTAATTACTGGCATGAGCTACATATTACTGCTCATATTTAAATATATTCATTCCCTTACATTTTGTGACCGACTAATACTCACTCATTAGATTAATTTTGGCGTCAAATGTTCCAAAAAAAGGATTTCACATGAACAGTTACACAAATCAGTATGAGAGTCGTCATTAAAGTCATTGATAAAATAACTGTTTTAGCCTATTTTTCCCTTCGTAAATTTTAACCAAATGTTGCTTTTCATGTCATTAGACTTTCAATACTATCCATTTCTGACATTCATCTATAGTTCTTCAATAAACCTTAAACTCATCAGATATTTGTTTCGATTTTTTCAAAATCTGCTTAATTACACACTGAATCATTCTTAAAATCACCCTTTTTGCATATGTACATGCTTAAAGACACAGTGATATTACAACAGTTGAATTCTTCCTCATAATTTTTTTCACAAATTTCTAGTCATGCTATGGTAATGAGATTCGAATTTCTAGGTGATTAACTATCAGTCAATGTATTCACTTTGATTGCACTTTTTGTAACGTAATAGACCCGTCAACAAAAAATAATGTGTGTTATATTTAACTACACCACGTAACGCCTTTGTGAGTCTAAAAACGAATTTGTTAATGTCATGATAGCAAGTAGTAAGAAAATGACTTATTTGGTTAAATAAAACAGAATAATCAAATTTCACCAAAATATTGTGCTAATCGAAAGAGATCTCAGATGAAGCATGCTTTCCACACTCTGGGATTGCCATATTTTCATCTGAATCAGTCAAATCAAAGGTAAAAAAAACAAAGAACGTACTTTGGAAAAGTTAAAATTTGTTAAGTTTTCAGTCATGAACAATTCAATAGGTTGACTTAAACAACTCAGTTAAAGATAGCTTTTACAGTGTAACATCAGTATACCTTATTCCATCAGTTATCAACAGAAAAACACACTTTAATTTGCAGGGTTTTTACACTTATCCTGTCGTTTGTATAAGTGACTCAGTTGTGACCAGTCTTAACCGACATTAGAGATAAAAGGCGCTAGGTTTTCGATTGCGGAAGTAAACATTGACTGTGGGACATAGACATATTCAACTGACGAGTCCTGATAAAGATGAGACATGCATCCAGGATCCTATTGTTAGGCACAATCCACCTCTTTTAAATAAACATACTATTTTTATGTATCATATATGGGCTGAATGTAAGTCACAAACATAATCATAACATCCCAGTCTCATGATTCGACTATCTCACATAATATTCAAAATCTGAATGGCAAACAAAACTGAAACAGGTCAAACTAGATTCTTTTGTAATATCCAAACAAGTAACAGGATTTTAAGACTGAAAGGAAGTAGGATCCAACAATTGTTTTTACATTATTATTATTACCACGAAAGTTAACCAGGTCAAAACACTCGGTAGACAGTAGGAAGAATTATCAAGAAGACAACAAAATCTTCAAAGATACCTGAACACAAATCAATCCATCAGAACAAAGTAATATTGATCTTATGTAATGATTTCCCAAGAATTTCATTTTACTTTTAAGTTGGTCTGTTAACATAATGCAACATCACAGTTAAAGCTTTGCAGATGATAAACCATTTAGACTAGAAAGGGCAAAATCACTAAGACCATCAGAACTAGTAAAATATCTCCTCCTTAATTTTCTCACAATATAGATAACAAAAGTGAGGTCATTTAAAGTGGATTAAATAGTAGAACAAAAGTTTGGAAATGGAGCTTGTCCTGCATGAAAACGGAACATATTTTGTTAGTATGCTGAGTGCAGACGTTTGTGGAGCAAAGTAATAATTTATAGAGCAATCGTCATCATTTTTCCAACAAAATCCAACTGAGAACTATTCTACGATAACTAAAGGTAATAAATTCTCATACTTGTTAACTGATTCTAGAGAATTGTTGATCCATTCGTCTCCATTAGTTGTGACAATTTAGATACAGTTTTTATTAACATATTCTTTTGATAAATACGACTTTCTAAACTAAACAATAAACCCATGTTTAATGCAATTTTTTCGCACATTTCTTCGGTTGTAGTGAACTTAAACTAACCACCACAATGAATGGCTATACAGCACAGAACAACTGAATAGTACTTTAAGTTAATTTTAGGCGATTGTCACAAGAGTTACGATCGTTTTAACGATAGTGAAGAGTCTATTTTATACATTTCCTTTTTTGAAAACCTACTTCACTTCTTAACTTAAACTAAAGCAGATAATTATATCTGTAATGAAAATAATATGTACTTTTTATTAGTTATTAACCTAATGCGAATCAATCTATTAGAATCGGCTTAAAGAATAAAAAGAACGAATCGTAATAGAGAAATATTATCGTTCTAGGAAATTTTTATTTAATCTTAATCTTATAAAGTGGGTTTTAACTGTTATTTCTTTTTTTTAAAGGTGTAAATATTTCAGAGGCAAGAAGTTAATGGGAGATTGGGAAATAAGAGTAGAACAAGTATGTCGAATTCTATATTAATTCAAATTTTGTGGATTCTTAAGCTCTTTACATATGGAAATTGTTTTTTAGTTTAATTCTAGGATTTTCAAGAGTAGGATTTGGTCCTTTTGATTAAGTTTCCTAACTCTAACGATAATCTGTACGAATAATAAGTAATTGCTCATGCTAATGTCCTAAATTTGCCTTTTTCTGAAGAAAAGGCTATATCTTTGAAAAAAAAATACCAAGATAGTCGTGGATTTATAAATCTAGAGGTAAATGAATGAATATAGTTCAATTGAATTAAGCTTCCAACTTGTAAGACACGTACTGATAATTAAGACTATAGATTAAATGTTTGAATTTATTCTTCATGAGAAAAATCTTTCAAGCATTAATAAATAGTTAAGCAAACACTAATCATGACAAGCAGTTAACCAAGGATTAGAAAACGAAATCTCGTCAGCAATGTAATAAAACTGAACCTGGAATATAGTATAGAAGACGGGTAAATTAATTTTTCCTTCAGCTGTCAGAAATGTTAACAAAGATGAGAGTATTCAGTAATTTTCTAGTTACTGTAGATTGTTTGTCTATATTTCATCCCTAGTTCTGCATTTACATTTGTAATATGAATTGCTTAATAAATTTCATATTGATAATGATTAAAATTGTTATCTAGTCACTATTGTCTATTTGTTTGTTTTCCTACAACTTCTAAGTCATCATATTCTCTTTTGTAAAAGATCTCTATTATACAAATTCACTAAGAATTGTGTACGTGATATAAATAAATTCCATGCTTGAGTATATACTCTGATAGAATAGAAATGTGCTGTAGGCATTACATTGGTTTTTAATTAATATGGTAGTTTTTAATTTTATCACAGTCAACTTAGATCTCACTATTAATTATAATCATAAATTAAACAATTCTATAAATTCATTTAATCTCTAATAATTTAATATGTCTATCGAAAATCTAGGGTGAGATATAGATTTTATTCTAATTAAATAACTGATCTACTGGAAATATATTACCAACCAAGGTTTTCGTAGGTAGTAATCATGAAATAATCGTACATTCTGAAGAAAACGCCATCAAGTGTATACTGTCGAACTTAACTGAAATTTATCTTTCCAATATTAAGGCAAAAGTGACAGATAACCTATCAAGATCAAGACTTGTAGAGGAAATCCCAGAGAATAGGCTCCAAATGAAGTTCAAAGGAGTATATGTCATCGTTTTAATCTGATGTGAACGTTAGAATCCTAAACAAACATAAAAGAATGTGATTTCAGTTTTCCTGAAGGGAGAGAAACCAACTACTATCCGTAACTTTCGGTTCCTACATATTAAATAGTATGTACTGCATGAAGACTGATTTTTCCCGGAATATATGGTACACTCAGATAAGTTCTTAGGGTTCAAAACTGATAAATCTTTCTTTAGCAATATTTAGTACTGGTTCTAAGTTAAAGTGATGAAAAAATAAGCGTTTTTATTGCACTGATTTTTAGGCTCAATTCTCAGAAATTTCAATGACAGCCTACAGTGAACAAGGTTGCGTTATTAGCATCTATCCTGATCATCTACGTTCAAAACCTCTAAAGTAAGTCAATTAAGTAGTAGTTACATATTTTGAAGATGAATTTAAGACATTTATTCATGGCTATTTGTCGCGTGAATGTAATAAATTAATTTAGGATTTGCATGGTAAATTGATCTTTTTTTAGCATTTCCATTTCTTTTATTATAAAAAGCCTTAAATTTGTGCCATCAAAACTTAATCATTCATAGTTCATTCAAACATTTAATTTAACCTCTTCCTTAACTTGCCCACAAGCTGATTCAAACACCACACATCAGATATTATAACATATTGAGATTTACTAATTCTCAGCAACCCACATTACTCCTACGGTGGACCAAAAGAAATAGTAAAAAATATCTTCAATAAATGAGTTAACAGAATGCAAAATAAATATATATCAAAATTTACGAATTACTTATTATTGTCAAAAGAGCGCGCGTTCATATGTCCAGTTCCTCATGACCTTGTGTTTATTTTTTTTAAAGATTTGTTTCACTGGTTTATACTTTCTCGAATCTTATCTTCGATCCCGAATCTTTTCCATCTTTGCTAATACTGCTACTATCTCTACTACTCTGGGGTTTGACCTGATGATTTATTCTCTGTGTGCTATTATGGTATGGCAACTTGAACGGAACTCTTTAGTCAGTTTATTGTTTGTGTACACTGAACAAAATTATGAAAAATCACAAATAATAACAAATGTTTACAAATTAAATTTGTTTCAACCATCTCCATACTTCATTCAACTTCCTTACAAGAAAGGAACGGGATGAAATGTGCTATAATCTAAGCGACATTTATGGAAAAAGAATATTATATATAACTCAAAATCTATCCCACAGGTTCGGCTAAATTTCTTAATTAAATGTGCGTTGAAAGTTAATACTTAGTTCTCGTTTCAACTTATTCAATTGCTTCAATCTTGACATGCACTTCTTCACATTCTATTGCAGTGTAACAACTTTAAATGAAATGCGATTTTTCCCGGTCTAATAATAATAATAATCTCTTTGAAATAAAACTTTTTCCTTAAAAAGTCAACTTATTTTGTTTTAAATCAGATCATTTAAACCTGACTTTGTCTTGATACGACAACATCCAAGTGATTTGAATGAGGACTGGCAACCTATACTCACTGGACTAATGTATGGGGGCACGCCATGTATGAATACTTTGCACGCAATATACAATATGAAGAATCGTCCATGGCTTGTAAGTTTTGTTGATGTTTTTGATTGCCTTTGATTAGTACTATCATTAATTCTCGTACTTCCATTTTCTTAAAAAAAATAAGGAAATCAATCTGTTGAAACTCTTCATTAGTCAGCAATCGTATGAACTAGAAGTAAGTCAGTCATCGAAAGAGCATTCTAAAACCATAAACACTAGGAAAGTAAACATGATTATTTCATCTACCGATCACAGGCATGACGACTGATTAAATCATGATTGACATATTACGCTTACACTTATTATCTTTTAGATTTATTACAAACTGCTTTACGGTGCACTGGTCTGCTTTCGTCTTTTGACAGACACATGTGGCAAAATTTTCTAATGATTTTAGTTTGGGCTATAAATCATACTGTCTTGATTGATAGTTTAATTGAAATATGTTTAAAGTACTTCAATAAACAGGTTTACAGGTTTATTTATTTGCTTCTCATAAATGAATATTATCTGATATCAAAAAGTGTTTTGTGTTAATTTCAAACTGATCGATTATCTAATCCATTTACGTGTTCACAATGTATCACTTAGTCTGGAAAAGAATTTAGATTTTTCGTATAATTTCTATAAACTATAAAAATCTTTTACCTTATCTACTACACCTGTTGCATATACCCTGAGTAACATCTGCTGACACAGTATAGTTTTTGAGTAAAATTATCTAATGTATTATATTGTCTTCAGATAGATTGTTAACCAGCAAATTGAGTATCAGCGAATTAAAATAAGTGAATTATGCATAATCAGTATATTCATTAACAATAGTCAGTCATCGTATGTAAAGATAGAAAATGGATTTTCACGAGGAAAATGATTATAGATCAGAAGTTGTTTAAAGATTAACTTGTAACTTATAATTTCCCTGCATACTAAGCTTTGTTCGACTATTTTTACAAATGTAAGAGGTATATTTCCACTTAAAGTGTTAATGTTATTTTCGTAATGCTGGGACTTTCATTTTATAACTAAAACTTCATTTTCCAATCTCTAAATTATAATTATTACTAATAACCTACTCAATAAACTAGATAAAAAAGAAATGAAAATACGTTTTCATTAAACTGATTTACTTTTGTTTGAAAAATAATTTTTCTTTACTGATATTCTCAAAAATTACCCGAATTCTTTATTTAAATATATCTCTTTGCATTCGTTTCAGTTCGCCCATTTATTAATGATCCGAAATCGACTTGGCAAAGAAAATTTTCCACTTATTTCACAAACCTACCATACAAGTCATAAAGAAATGGTATGTATTGTAAATTGTATACTTTTTATAATAAAACAGTGGTTCTAATATGAAAAATTCATCATGAAATTCAATGGTATTCATGTATGCATACATAATTAATTTGACTGGCTTCGTTGGGCATGAAATCAGGTCGATTATTAATACTGTGAAAAAAATATCACCATATAAAAACAACAATTAGTTTCAAAATCGAAAATTTGTTAAACTGCCAATCACTTCATAATATATCAAAGTCATTCAACGAGATTACTTATAGTTACAAATTGAAATCAGCTTTATAACAACAGAAAACTGAACAGCAATGAATCTGTCTTTGTACTAGCCTAGGACTTCGAAACTTTGTACACTCATAAAACTTCACATGAAGCAGTGTTTAGGATCATCAGGGTACTCCTGAACTATTAAAATGAAACATGTTATTGAAAACTTCTCAACTTTAACCAATTGATGATCATATCAGTTATCAATGGATACTGCTTGAGACAATCCTTGTATCAAACACAACCTAAATGATCTCACATGCTAATTTGTAATTTATTTGGGGAGTATTTAATCTACTTATTAACCATAAAGATGTCTTACTTAAGTTCTATTTGATGGTAGTCTGTCTCATATAATAAGTTAGAACGATTAAACTGCCAATGGTTTTTACCAAGATATATCGTCTGGCTTATCTTTTTCAACTAATACTTATCTTATGATTCCTAGTCGATGGATGCTTACAGAAATATATGTTTTATTAACAATGGATTATATTTAATATTTAAGTGAACAACAATTTCTAAATTATTTTAGTTTCTTTCTACTTCTACTTTATAAAAATACATTCTTCACAGTAGTTATAATTTAGTCTATAAGTTAGTTTTTTTTTTACGTAATTATTTAAAAGTAAATTAGGTCATCTAAATTAAAATACAATTTTCTCAAGTTTATGATCAAATATTGATTTTTCTTGCTCTAATTTTAAGTGGTTCTAATGTAAATGTAGTTTAAGAACTTCAAAATTATAGAAGGACATTTTTCAAATTATATTGTTTTGTTTATAGAATACCTAAAAAAATCTTTAGATCAAAATAAATTATAAATCGATCATTGTTAGACCAGCATCAGAAACCTGAAAACACTGGACAGTCGTTTCGTCCTAGTATGGGACTCATGCATGCATGAAACTCAGTCATCTCCATAACGAAAAAAGTTAATGAAAAAAGTTAGTTTCTCATACACCATATGTGAGCGAAATCGGTTATGATGTGTAAGTCCTAACACAAAAACTGGTAGATTATTTATGGAACCAATTTTGAAATCCTTATTTAAAAGTCCTGACCTTTCATCATTTTTCTACTCAGTAAAAAAAAGAAACGTCTTTCTATGATTTTCTCCGTCTTCATATAATATGGTGGTAAACCTTAATCAAAATTATATAATACGCTTCCTGAATAATTAGTTACATAACTCATTTTTATTCTTCGTTATAAACTTTTAATTTTCTTCATTCCTATTCATTTTTAGATTGTAGCACCGACATTGCCAGTTATTGTAAAAGTTGGAGTAGGTCATCGTGGTGAAGGCAAAGTATGTAAATTAAATGTTTTTTTTTTTGATTAATTCACTTCATTTTATTTCGTCATTAAAATTTTCATTTGATTGTTATTCGTACAGTCATTCATCCATCATTTTCAATCAGATAAAATAATTTTCTTCAAATAAAATATCCACCAAATTCAATGTAAAAGTTTTAACTTGCCGAAGTTATATATTTTTTAATTCCGTTATCATTAGTCATGTACAGCAATATATTTTCTCAAAAAGATTATCAGTGTCCAACCACAAAGTAATAACAATTGGATTGTCTAGTATTTTTTTTTCCTGACGATTGGATTTATTTTGTGAAGAAAGAAAAGAACAGCACAAATATAATTATGACTTTCAATAAATAGTAATTAACCAAAAGTAGTTAACTAAAAAATATAGGACTAGTTAGTTTGTTACATGTCTTCAAGAACCATAATTTTACTATGACGCCCTATTTCTAATTCATGATCATCATATTTTAAAGTTAAGATAATCCAGTTAAACTGAAAAATATTTAGTTGTTCAAACAGAATGTCACCATATTACAGTGATTACATCCAATTATTAGTTATAATTCAGTTTGTTACGCCATGAGTTAAAAGTGCTTGCATATATGTATGTAGTGTATAGCACTAATTAGAACAATAGTGTTAACTTATATTAATTTATTTGTAAAATAATTTATACTATTCATCAAATCACTAACTGTTTTTATTTTCCTTCTACAAAATGTTTACAACTCATTAGGTAAAAGCTGAGACACCATTTATTTATCAAGATTTAGTTAGCCTTATGATTTCTGGTCAAACATATGCCACAACAGAACCATTCATTGATGCTAATTGTGATCTTCATGTACAAAAAATCGGTACTAATTATAAAGCATTCATGTAAGTTTAATATTCAACAATGTTTTTTAAACCAATCATATTACTACATTGAATTGATAGTTTTAGCTTATCTGTTTGCCAGACAGAGAACAAGATGTTATCGACGAAATGAAATAATACCTTTTTTCAGTTAGAGTTTTGGAGATTTGTGTTTTTACACATTTGAAATCATCAATCGATCATTGTTAGACCACCGTTAGAAACCTGGAAGCACTGGACGGCCATTTCTACTAGTATGGGACTCATCAGCAGTGCGCATCCACGACTCCTGCACCTCTCAGGATTCGAACCCAGGACCTTCGGTATTGTGCGCGAACGCCTGACCATCGAACCACGCTTTTTTTAAGGGTTTCAGATCAACTTTTAGATGAATATTGTTAGTTAGCGAACAGAGATTTACTATGTTAGGTTATCCAGTTGTTAAAATTTCTAATTTTTATGTTTAGTTACAGAGCTTCTGATTTCATAACATTTCTGAGCCTTATTGAGACAATTTTAATCGGTAGTAAATATTTTAAAAGCAATCACTGGAAATGTTTATCTTCACTACACATAGGTACTATCCAGTGTTCATTTATCTTTTAAAAGAGATGAGTTAATTAGATTTCCGGACGAGTTATTTTTAACATCTAGGCCTACATTTTCATCAGAAATATGAGTATTAATATAACAAAACTATAATACCATAAAGTTCATATTAAAAATAACAACTGAGACATTATCATGGGATTAAACAATCCATAAATATTAGTGATAACATACCTCTAAATATGATTATCTCAAAATGACATGTGGACCTATGAAAACTGAATTATTGTTGATTAAAAATCATATAACAAGATACGTAGACGTCCATTTAATATCGTATTCATCAATCAAAGTATGATTTTTGTTAGACATCTTGCAACTTATTTTACCTTATATTTTCAAATTCCGAAGGTCAAATTGCTGACTCACGTATTCCTTATATTGCCACATGATTAGTGGGGGTAGTAATTTTAGTAGGTTTTAAATCTCAAACATAAATAAACACTCTTTCTGAAAAAAGGCGTACTTGGCAACTTCCCAGCACCGCATGCCATCAACCTCACACAAAACCTTCACATTTTACAGTGAGCACAATCCTATTCACTTACTTGATTCAGAAATATTACTTTGACGTAGTAACAGAAAATTAACACTCCACTAAGTAATAATCTCCTTAAACTGAATGGAAAGACCGATTTCTCTATCTATAAAAATAACTTTATTCTCAAACAGTGGTCTACTGATTGTTACAATTACTTATCAAATGATTAAAATATTTTTCTCGTAAAGGCGTAAGGCTATTTCGGGTAATTGGAAATCTAATACTGGATCAGCGCTATTGGAAAAAGTCCCTATGAATGATAAGTAAGTTTACATTAATGTCTTCAATGTAAACACTTAAAATTTTAATTATCGTCAGTTTAACTAGTTTTTAATTATTGCACTGCTTGATTTATTAATATATAGGAAGCAGGTGCGTGCAAAGAAATTTCTAACGCCTATTACACAAAAACTAGTCTTGGAGCCTTTGATTGCACTGAATCCGATATTGAACTCGTTACTTTAGTAGCATGAGATCCAGTTCGGACGAACAGTTAAATATGCTATGAAATAAATCTTCCCTTCAGTTTCCGTATATCATACTGAAGCAAACTCCGTCTGTGTAACGGCGGTTATAAGAAGACAAATACAGATTAGGTTGTATAAGTTTATGTCAAGCAACCGCTCATGCAGACTGACATAATAATGAGAAGCTTACAAACATAGCGAAGTCAGGTGAAGAAGACGAGTGAGCCAACTCCTTAAGATGAAGTATAATTAAGCATTTATAGTCAGACAAAAGTAAGCCAGACATGTAATGAGTGAAATAAGTGACACATACTCAAATGAAATAAACCAAGGTAAAAGCGAATAGTTTTCAAGGTCATAAGACGTATGAGTGACTTGAGAAGAATGGATTGATTAAATCGTCCAAAGGCTGAGACAACCCTGATGGCTTGACATAAAATTAAACACACAACAAGCCCTTCTGGGTTTACTGCCAACCCCAGGTCCGGATAAACAAGGCAGGTTAGGCAAGGGGTTAGAGACCCTGTCGCTTGGAAAACCAACCAAGTTCAAGCTGTATAAGACCTACTAGAAGAGGAAACTGGAAAGAGGTTGAAGAAGTAGTAACTTCAACAATGTCACGAGGTTCTGAGTCACAAGAACCACAACCAGGGAGAATGGATCTCTGTTGATACTCTAGATGAGACTCAAGAAAGGAACAACAGGAAAGCAGCAATCAATAACTATGCAACAAGAGCAGAGAAAACCATAACACAGGTCAAATACAGAGAAGCGAACAAGCAAGTGAAGAGGAGCGTTACAGCTGATAAATGGAAGTATGTAGTAGATCTAACAATGATATCGGAAAAAACCTCATGATAACGAAACATCAGATGACTATACAATACAACGATGAAGCTCACTGGAAAATACAGTAAACCAGAATGACCAATCAAGAACACGGAAGGCAAAGTAATCACCGAGTAGAGCATTTCGAGAGACTCTTGAGTAGACTGACCCCACTGAACCCATCCAACAGGTTGACACTGTGGAGGCTTCGCTGAAACTACAGTGTACATGAGGAGAGTCGATATCATACGAAATTTTTATGATGAGTCGAACTGCAAAATTGTGTATGGAGGACAGCTCACAGACTCATTCCACGTGAGGACCGGTATCAGACAAGATTGATTACTGTCACCCTTTCTCTTTGTCCTGGTATTTGACTGAATAATGAAGATGTCAACATCTCACAGGAAGCTTGAAATACAGTTGACATGTGGGATAAAGTTGGACTACTTGAACTTCATAGATGATCTAGCTCTCCTATCTCACACACAACAACAAATGCACATGAAGGCGGTCAGTGTAGTGGCAGCCTCTGCAGTAGGTCTTGATATACACAAGGTAGACTAAAGAACAAACTGTGTCGAGAATCGGAGACAGAAATGAAAAGAATGAATAACAGTTGAAGTAGAACTGGATAGGAAGGTCCAGGACAGATTTAGTTTGAGGATGCTGGTCGCTGGTCTATGCTCTGTTAGGGATAATAGGCCTAATTTATTGAGTATTTACGCAAAAACATTACGGTTACTATTTACAGGTTTTTATGCATCGTTAATTTTAGCAAGTTGGAGTTTATTTAATAAATCGTAAATATGTAATTATCTTTCTTTCTGCTATTATTTATAAGGTGACTTTAAAAATGTGATCAAATTTGATCAGTTACCAGTAGCCTCAGGAGAGTAACTCTTCGTTTCACTGACAATAACAGGCTTTCCGCCTTAAAAATAATCTTGTATACTTTATTTTTTTAGATTCAAACTATGGATTGATGAAGTGTCTCGTCTATTTGGAGGTTTGGATATATGTTCTATTGATGCATTACAATCAAGGAGTGGTGAATATTTTATTTATGAGGTGATTCTTTAATGAATATGATTATAAACTATGCATATAAAATTATTTTAAATTATGATGTGTTTTTTGTTTCACGCACTGACTAACATACAGAAACGTATAACAACTATATGTTGTACACATTATTGTAAGCTTTTGGAAAAGAAAAATGTAGTAGATATATTGCTGGGTGAATCAGTTCTATAAAGTTTGAAATAATATTTTAATTAAATACAACATAAACTCTTAAAACATCAGAAAATAATTACTCCAACTTTATTCTGAAACTTGATCATGAATGTGTTTACCAGACGACTATTATATCGAAAAGTAATTAGAACATTTCGTAGTTTACTATTCTCGTACTGATGTTTCATTTACTGATTAATTACAAATTCGATAAATTCAATTTTTTTTTTCGACATCAGTTAAACATCACCGGAAATGAAGAATTACCATACTAACTAATACAAAATTGTTGATAATCTTGATCTCTAGTCATTTTTTAAGTGAAATTTATGTTTAAAATAAAGACAGAATATTTATATACAGAAGCTGAAAGCCATTATTTAAAATAAGGCTATATTTTATAAATTTATTTCACATTCACTTCTTATGAAATATGAACTTGTTTCAAGACTAAAATTGAATATTGTCATTACTATTAATAGAAAGAATATAAATCAGTTAGACAACGAAATTGATAAACAAATTATATTGTAAATAATCGAGAAGGAAATTCTCCAGAGAATTGATGCACGTTGCATCGTATCTTAAATGTTTAGAAATCAATAGGTTAAAAGTCTGTCAGGTGCATTCATGGTACAAGAATGTGTTAAAAATAAATGTGATAATGTTTATATGATAAATTCTGGTATTTAATATTTCATTAATGATCATTGTTTTAATTTTCTCCATCCCTTAAAATCGCTAGTTCAGATTGTAAGCGGAGATGGGTCGCGGCTAGCATGTTTCGTTCTAGTTAGGACTCATCAGCTGAATTCAACAGTATCTCAGAAATGATACGCACTCTGGGACTTAAACTCAGTACTGTTTTCTGAAAATGCCACTGCCTTATCCACTTAGTCATTCAGTCCAAATAACCACAGATTTGTGAAAAATGGTGAATTGTAGTTCAGTTATATTGGTTGTTTGGATCTTCCCATTCGTGTTTTGGGACTCCAATTGATCAGTCCATTTTTAAATACTCATAACTTAGTAACAATATCGAGACAATCCGCACCGGATATACATAGACCAAAAGAGACTGACCAATTGCAGTCCTAAATATCAATCGGAAGATTCAAACAACCAATAGGTATGGATTATACTGGTGAGATGGTGGAGAAGATTTGTAGCTCAGGTGGATGATTGTAGTGGTGTTTGGTTCTCTGAGCTGGATGTTTTGGTTGTGGAGCTTTCATTGTTCTTCTGAACAACATCATCAGCACAAACTTCGAATGCTTCACTTCTATCTGAAGTTTGTGCTGATGATATTGTACAGGAGAACAATGAAAGCTCCACAACCAAAACATCCAGCTCAGACAACCGAACACTACCACAATTAAACTGGAGAATTTTTAAGGTATTTAAAAATTAAAATAACTGAAGGCAACCAAACTTTACAGAGAAATACAATTAATCACATTTATAACTAAATAAAAACATATTTCCAAGATGGATCTGGAATGTCTTCTTGCTATAAAGTCTCTACTAATGCATTCATTGATTTTTCTCCTAATGCTGTTAGTTACTGCATTCGTGTAGTCTGTTTGGCTACTTGAATACAGAAGCAGTCTATATAAACAGTTTAACTTTTTAATCATTGTATTTTATCTATTGCTGACAGGTTTACTATAAAAGAATTCAATATAAATCAGAACTTTATCGATCTTAGTGGTACATGGTTTACTGAATTTTTCAACTATGTTTCCCTATTCCCGAAATTTTATATTTTTTACCAATCAATCTCTCACTGCAATTTCATTGACTTAAAACCAGCCATTTCATTGAAGAATTTAATTTTATCGTAGCGATGAATTTTTATTTTCTGCACGAAAGATTTGACATATTCCAATTTAAAATGATTCAGTATAATTAATAAAAAGTCTTTATAAATATTTAATGTGTATTTAATTACAAATGAGCTAATTATCAAATAAGTGAAGTAATTTTTTACTGGTAAATCAATCTTACTAGTCAATTTATTTTTGCTTGTCATAACTTGCTTACCGATTCTCCGAGGTTATACTTTGGTTACATAAATAGTATGTAGGTACGCGGCAGATTAGCTCCGACTTTATGATATTCATAGTCTTCATTTCACTGCTTATTTATGTTAGTCACGTTTTCCATGTGAATGTGTGTGTATTTTTGAAATAACAGGACAAAATAATAATGACAATGTATTGTAATGATCTTTAACCTAAAAAAAAATCTATACAGACTAAACAACATTATACTTTGTTCAATAATATGCATTTATTCAAGTGTTTAAATATTTTATGACTTCGTTTTCGTACATTTATTCCTTTTTGGCTTCAATTTTAGGCTAACGGTTCGGATATGACCCTCTACGGTGATAGTCAAGAAGCCGATAGAACAGAAATCGCTGAACTGGTGATTCAACGTTTACAATCTTTATCTCTGTAAGTGTAAGCTTGAAAATGCCAAAACAAAGTTTATTAGAAAGATAAAACCTTATTTATTATTAAATGAAATCAATAATTAATCATAAATACTATGATGAAACGGCCATCCAGTGCTTCCAAGTTTCTGTCGGTGGTGTCACAATGATGAATTCATGTTTTCAATGAAACTTGCAAGCACTGAATTCTCAACTTTGAGTTCCGCTAGCTCACAGTTGCAAAAGCAGCTCATTCTAAGATAGACATCTAACAGCAATCCAAAGTGGTAATCTATCTATCTAGTATATGCAGTATTTTCATTTCCATAATAAATTTGAGCTAAAATATATTACTAATACTTTCTATAGTTCTGTTGTTATTATTTTTTTGAATTACCAATAAACTTTAAAACACTTTCTATAATAGATGAATTTCGAAATTATTCAAAACTAATAGATAGCTTTATGTCAAGGCTATCATTAATACCCTAATCGATCAGCTGAATTTTTATCTGTCCTACCTCTCTCTCGTTGAACCAAACAAAAACAAGAGCTGTTTTCTAAAATTCTAACATATCAGACAATTTTCGATGTTAAAAAACTGGTGGAAAAGTAGCACCTTTTCTAATACATCATGGTAATATTTTAACTGGTTATCATTATGCATAGTTAACTTGTTTTAATGAAGTTTCTTAACAAGCTTCAAAAAACGCTAGAAATAATATCTAACTAGACATAGTAGTAAAGATTTAACTTGGACTATGTAGAAGCTATCTTGATGAAAACACAAAAGTATTGATCACTCATGTAGGACTAACCTGAGTATATCATGAAATCGCCAAACTTTATGTTAATTGGAAATCCAATCACACTTTCTGTTAGTTCGGAAATAAAAATAGATTAATCATAATGAAATAGATGATTACTTATCTTATTCTGTATGCATAAAATTTAGTCTTATCTTGTTCATTATTCGGTTAAGAGTACGGGAGATTTTCGATTCTGCTGAGGTTATTTTTATAACTAACACTTTCTACTTTTCTTAGTTCAATGATTATAAGAAAATTGTATGTGTATGTTTTACAAATATTTTTTATTCCACATTAAGTCCCAAAGCTCCAAGTCTACAAGCAATTGGTAGAACAAGCGAAACAGAAAGGCCAACAGGTATAGGAGTAGGAAGTTCCTCAACTGTTCCTCAGCCTAGTATTGGATCTGGTGCAGTACATTCATCTTTTAATCCACCATCTCAAAAACCTTCATCACAACCTTATTCCCAAGTACATCAGTCGCAACTAACAGATATTCATCAAAGTCTTCAGCCTCAAATAACTCAAAAATATCCATCGACAACAGGAGTTACGTCAAATACTAATTCACTTATAGGGGAACCAGTAGGATCAGTAAGTCCTGCATTGAGTAAACATTCTGATCCCGGTTTCGTCACAGGTTTTGGTTCCTCTACTAGTTCACTATCTTCGAGAGCTGATACACCACACCAAACGTCTTTTAGTACACCAACGACAACTGTAGTAAATCGAGGACCAAGTACCACTACGGAAAATTCTGACACTGGGTACCGTTCAAATATTGGGGGAATGTCCAGCTTGCAAAACACAACAAACAGCAATTATCCCTCGCACACATGGAACCAAGGTTCCTCATCTGGCCTGTTTAGTCCTTCTAAAATACCACCAATGGATTCAACCTCAAAACCAAATCTAATCAATCAACAACCATCGACAGGATTCGACAATTTAGATCATACTGGTAGAACCAAGTTAATGAGTTCTCCTCAACAATCTTTCGGATCTTCTTTCAGGTAGGTTCTCTAGCTTATAACCAATATCTAAATGCAAATAAATGATATAAATTTGGGTCCATTAACCACAGTTTTAAGCCTCCATATAAAGTCTTATTTTTTAAAGGTATTAAACTCACCCTTCTTAGGTCAATGGATTATCGTAAATATTTTCCGTTCGAAAATACAACTTATCTTGAGTTTTACCTTCAAATAATATTGATTATACTGTTTCTATAAAATGCACACTTATGTTAAATATTAACCATATGTTCTGTAAAAGAATTCTTCATGTTTATGAGCTTACTGAAATCCATAATGAACTAATCGCCTTATATTGTAATATTACTATCTCCTAGGAGGCGTGTATGAGTTTTAGTAAAACCACACATAGTAACATTGTTTACCCATTGTCTTTTTTTTTCATTAAAAGGTTTTGAATACATCAAAATGAGCTTATCAGTTTGATGTGTTCTGTTTACTTCTCATTCCAAAAAAATATGACTAGGCTGTTAACTGGTGTATTATCCGCCAAGTTAATATAAAGCATATCACATTTATTCACACATGAAACTACATTGTTTCCATCTGAAATAAATTGAGGAATAATAAAAAAAATATTTTTTTGGATTGTATCTCCTATATAGACTAACCTTCATAGAAAAGATATAAAAACAAATGTTACTATAACTTACTCGCTTATTGAACCAAGTGATACTGATGGTAATTTCGATAACAAGAACTGATTGCCAAAAAGCTACTCGTCAAAATGTTAACTTTCCTGTCACATTCATCTCTTTGAGAATGTACACATACTCAATGTGGTGGTGTTTCGTTCTCTGAGCAAAGAACACTAGAGAATTCTTAGAAGCTTGGCACTCAGGTCAATCAGCAATCAACAAACACATCAACATTGACCCAATTTATCAACCAGTCAGAAAAATCATAGGTGACACAGGATCAAGAAACAGATCAAAAGGAGGATGCAATCAAAACAAAGTTGCAAACAACGACAGGTCAAAGGTCAACAGCAACCAATCAAGATCGAGGTTAGCAGAACAAGCTACAGGTCAAACGTGGAGAAATTCGAATGCTTCACTTCTATCTGCAGTTTGTGGTGATGATGTTGTTCAGAAGAACAATGAAAGCTCCACAACCAAAACAACCATCTCAGAGAACGAAACACCACTACAATCATCCACCTGAGCTACAAGTTTTCTCCATCATCACATACTCAATGTGTTTCTTTTTCACTACTCTAACAAAACTTTTATCGCACACAATTATCAGTATATGTAATAGGATTTTCTGTTTAACACTCTAGCTCGCCCTATTAATATTAGAGGTGGCACCATAACCGAAGACTGTTGTAGATAAAGCCTTTGAATTGATGATAAACTGGAAGTCATTTGAAAGATATTTTAAGTTATCACAACTAATTACGGCGTTACAAAAATTTTCATTTCCTCAAAGACCACCCAGCATCGGGATCAATTCAATCCGTGATTTTTCTGGACGACGCATCATCTTTATAGGCACATAACCACTCGTTGAGCAGCCAGTTTCTAGGTTCCTTGAACACTTCCTCCCCGTTTATGTATTTGATAATAATATAGGTTGTGGATTGGTGCTAAAGGCAAATGAAGTTGTTTCATATGATCCAAAACTATTACGTATGATTACTCAATAACATCATTGATGACTGGCTTGTGAAACAGGTTGCCAGGTTCCAAAAGTGAGCACCAGTCTGTAAACCTCTCTGACTCAGAACTATCTCCAACGGCACACTTATTCAGAGGTAATCTTACTAAACTCATGATGTAGCACATATTTATTTTGGTTCCCACTTGTACAATGTTTGTGTTTTAAATAAATAACACTAAATTCATGGAAAGGTATATAGGAGTGGAATGAGGGTTGAGATACACTTACAAAGTAAATTTCTCACAGAAACCCACATGCGCTCGTAACTATCTACTGGGCAATAAAAGATATCTTTACTAATGAAAATGAACAATTCATTGAAGTAATCAAAAGGGTTAGTGTAAGGTTTAAAGTCAATTAATCCTTTCTCTTTAATTTGTCTGATTAACTCAGGCTTGTCATTCGTTATATCTATATTGTCCGGTTCATAAGTAGAAAAATTTAACTCTCTGCATGTGATGAATTGTTTTTAGAGATTAAATCAGATGATGTGACACTGCTAAGTAAATTTCAGAAGGGTATTTCTTAATAATACCACTGTGGAACTTATTTAACCTCAGTAAGTTCACAATATTCCGAGTGCCTAATTCGTTTTGTGATTCAGACGGAAATACATAGGGCAAAACTAAGCATCGGGGTTGAAGTGCATTGTAAACAATGTGCTTTATATTATGTATGCTGCAGACAGAATTTCCTCATAATAGTTTCTTGTGTAGACCGGAAAGTCTCGAAAATTATTTACGTTTGATAGTCATCACAATAAAAGTCATGACCTTTTACTTTTTTTTTAAAAAATTTATTTCACTTCTTGAATAATTTCTTTGAACCCTAATATTTTTCGTTATCGATAATACTTCTACTACTATGGGATTTGAATCAACGATTCGATCTCTGTGTTAATGTGGTATGACAACTTGAACTGATGTATGTACGAACGAAGTTCTGAGTTGTAAGTGACCAACTGACAATAAACATCAACTCACATGACAAAAATACAAACCAATCACCATATACGCTTAACAAGATTATTTCATACAACCGGTTGTTTGTTTACACGAAAAAAACAACTCTCTGTGATTCAGAGTTTGAGGTTGCCTATCATTTAAGTATAATTAAATCAAGTCCGAAGGAATATCAATGCTAAACTCAGACAGAAAAGCGCTATATGTATTCTAAAATATACTTCTGCTTCTCAGCTGAATTTCAATGAAATTCTGTTGATAGTAGGCAATTACAAATCTCAAAAGCCAAACGACTAATACCATTATTATTAATAATATCTTGAATTTAGTTATGCTCAAATACAACACCAGGACTTTTTAATGTGTTTTATACCAAAGAAGCTGACACCAAATGATAAAGTCATTATTAACTACCTTATAGTTACCGGAAATGGATATGTAACACACGTTAAATTGTAATCACTAAAAGCCATCTGAACAAGGTTCTTACCTGTAGAACACAAACAATTAACGTGACTTCGTCTAAAATATAAAAACTTATGCACAATTTGTCATATCCGCTCTGATAAATAAATCATCATACATGCTTCGCTAATCAGTAATATTTTGTATAAAAACAAATGTTTTTTATACATTTTTTATCTGTAGCTCTAATGTACCATATGGTACTGAAAAACCCAGCAATGATATAAATAGAAAACCATTAGGACAAACAACTAGTGGACCTGACCGTCCAGATGTCCCACCAAGACAAACTTCATTACGTACCGGACCCGGCACTGAAGATACAGACGATACAATGAAAAACCTACGCAAAACATTTGCCGGAATTTTTGGTGATTTATAAGAGAACTTGCCAGTAGAATTGTCTTATTTACAGCTAGCTTATTATTACTACTTATGAATGTTGTATCTTTAAATCAACTTTTTTTAAAAACTTAATTACTACTGGACCAGTTTTTATCTTTTTATTCTCATTTTATTTTATCGTTACTCCAAATATTTGTTTCCTGAAATTTCCATGAAAATTAAGAACATATTTATGTTATTGCATAAAATTTTATTTCAGTTTCATCTAATTAAAATAAATCTAAAGATTAATTTACTTTTATCATTCTTGGCTATTTCATTACTACTAATATTTTGTTCTTCAAGCGTTTTAATCACATTCTAACTCTTTAAATTCATACAACAAAATGATACTCAAGTAAACTGATCTCGAAAATATAATTATTTATTTCTACTGTTTGTCAAATAATTTACTACTTATAATTTATTTACAAAACAAATATTAACTTATTCAACTAGTACTTTGAAGTGCTCATGTTGACTGTTTATTGATTTTTCACGTACTTGCTTACTTCTGTGATGCCCAAATTACTATTTCATGCTTTCTTGTTGACTTTCTCTCCCTATCTTTCGCTATTCTATGTTCTTATATTTATTGCTTGAAAATAAAAAACAAATTTTTATCGTCTCAGAAAACTGACTCATGCTCGTTAGGTAATTTTACTAGTGGATTTTACGAAGAGAAATTCCTAGTATTCAGAATAATAAATGTAGGAGAGTAATAAGCTTTTGTTTTATTTTTACTAAGTTAATTAACTACTGTTTACCTAGTTAATCAACTACTATTCTACATAATGAATAACAAACCACGAATAAAGTGATCCCTTGACTGAATGTCGGTTTAATTTTATCTTGCTACTAAAATGCCGCATAACAGGAAGATCTATTGCTTGGTGTTGAATACACTGTAAACTTGGAACCATAAGACAATCTCCTTAATTACCGAAACTAGACAACTAGGAATTTATAAAGCATGAATTAATGACCGAACCGTAGCTGATACCTTGACGTAGTGGCCGGGCTTGCCTATCGTCATGAGCAACCGAGCTATATTAGCTGGGACATATGTTCCTGTAGGTTCTACCATGTCAGGCAGGTCGAAACGATGCCCGCACGTACGTAGTCCTACTTGGTAATTCATTAAGTGAATAGGCCACTACTTTGGATAAAGGCTGGGTACTTTTGATTTGTTCATCCCACGTCCAACACACACAAACCACACAAACCCATCACTCAAATAAACGAAATCTAGACTGTCTGCACACTTGACTATCTCTAGCGAATAACGAGGACTTTGATCCCTCAGTAACTAAGCAAGAACCGAACCAATGTGATTAACTATGTTTATTCCATAAACAACAGAATATCTCAAAAGAAACGGATATCTTTGGGGCCTAATGACACCTTAGGTGGAGTTGAAACAGTTTTCGTCTTTCCCGCACCTCTTGTTAAAGTGCTGCTTAGAGAGAAAATACACGAATTTGATTAGATAGGTTAATTTATTTTATTATTCGGTTCTGAATTGCATCCTGATTAATTTTACAAACAAAAATAATTCTTAGGAAAGAAAATACAGTTCAACACTTCACATAGGTCATACATATTTACACATCATAATAATTTCCATTACTAGAAATAGATCATTTGAAGAAAATGGACAACCAAGCGTTGTGATCAATGATGAGCTTGTAAAGGAAACTGAAGCTAACATACCAACGAAAACAAATAATAATTTTTTTGTAAAAATAAAAGAAGTGAAGATAAAACCATATTCATATTAGCAGCAAAAAATTACTGTGTTAACAATAATATTAGCATAAAGTTTTAAAAACGATTCGTCAAATGTAGATATTAACATATTCTGAATTACATAATTACAAATTATGAGGATAGAAAGAGACTGAAAAACAAAATGAAAGAGGTACATACGATAAGAGATTACTGACGGAATACAATTTTAGGCTATCGATCAATATTAGCGAATTGTTTGTTGATTTAATGGAAAGTGAAGTGATAATTTTGTTCAAGTTTCCTGACACGCTTCTCTTCCTTTTTTTTAGGTCCACCAGGCTATAAGACGAATATCCAACAATAAAAAGACAATTAACGCAAAATTAAACAACAACTTGCTTTCAAAGCATTATATCAGTCAATCAGTCAGTTGCAACGTAGAACTTCGTACAAGAGTACATAAGTTCCGGTTGTCACACCACATTAGCACAGAGATGTAATCGTCAATTCAAATCTCATTGTAGTAGGGGTAGTAAAGGTATTAGCAGTAGTCGAGAAGATTAGGGTTCGGAGATATTATTCAAGAAGTATAATTCAGTGACAAAAAATTAAACAGAAGAAGATAAAGTGATGAGGAATTCAGAAGGGTAGGGTTTGAGAGAACACAAAGAGTGGATGCACCTGAGCCATTGCAAACGATTCTGAGCCGTATCGTTCAAGGTCTCTAACCACCGATTACTATCATCTCGCGGACCCCAACCAGGTAGCCTACATCTACCAACATGACTCAGTCCACTTGTCAGTGATTTCATGGATTTGTGCCATGTTTTAGCCTGGCCGCTCCTAGCTTTCTTCCAACCTACTCCTACACCACAAAACATAGCTCGTCACAGCAGTCGGTGGTTAGGCATACGCAACACATGTCCCAACCAATTCAACTGATGAATTTTCAATACTTCATCTATTGACTTACCATCCTTTCCTAGAACACGTTTCCTAACAACAGCGTTGCTTACTCGGCTGCCCCATGATACATGAGCAATACTTTTGAGACACCTATGATCGAAAACAAGCAACCTATGAATATCTTCTACTCTAACTGGCCGTGTTTCACAGCCATTAAGTAGGACGGAGCATATAAAATTACTTTTCAATATTTAAAACGGTTCATCTTACTAGTTTGAACACCACTTGAAGTAATCAATACCGATGACAGTGCGCCATCGGCTCTCACTCGACCAGTGGTGCTCGAGTAAAGGGCTCGTATAAGGTTAATGTACTTCTTTGGTACACATTTCAATAAAAGACACTGCCACAGAACCTCACGATCAACAGAGTCAAATGCCGCTCTTAAGTCCAGGAATACAACTATTGTCGGACGTCCAAATGTGTGTCTCTGTTCCAGGACCTGTCTTAGTGTGAAGATGTGATCTATACAGCCACGACCAGGTCTGAAACCAGACTGGTTTTCTCTAGTCTGCTCTTCATGAGCTCTAGTTAGGTGTTGGAGTACTATTGAGGCCAATATTTTAGATATTATATTAGTTAGACTTATTCCCCTGTGATTGTCACAAGAGGATTTTGGCCTTTCTTCCAAACTGGGACAATTAGTGACTGAGACCAGTCAGATGGGATTACGTCCAGTTCCCAGATTCTACCTAAGATCTCGGTCAGTCTAACTCTTAAGACTGGATCACCATCCTTATACATCTCAGATATAAGCCTATCAGGACCCGATCCTCCACCTCCCTTTAGATTTCCAATAGCTTTCTCAATTTCATGTAGACTATGAGGACTTGAATCGATTTGCCATTCAGGATGACTGGGGATCGTGGGCAACCGAAGTGTGGCTGAAGACTAGTTGAAATGATCTCTAAAGTGTTCTGCTCATCGGTCCAATCTCCTGGATTGAGAATGAATAATAGTCCCATCCTTTTCCGATATAGTCTCACTCACATTCGGGTTCCTAATACCGGTTTCTTTGATAAGGCGGAAAAGTTCTCTAGTGCTGCCCACTGCGGCTGCCTTTTCCATCGCTTTTGATTTCGATACCCACCATTGTTCGCGATCATTGAGAAGGCTTTTTACCAGCCTGCGCGTAAGTTGACTTCGCTCTTCCTCATGTTCAGAACCAGGTGGGATGAATTTCCGACCATCTATCAGTTCGGTGGATGCTTCTGAGATCCATGGCTTCTTCCCAGCCTTATGGTTTACCTTACTAGCAGATATCAGTTTCCACAGTTATTTGATTTCATTCCAAGCTGACGCGGGATGGGAAACACTAGTTATTCCTGAAATGTCTTCTTAGCTGTGCTATCATTAAGAAGAACCCTCAGAGGTTGCCTTGCGCCATCTTTCCTACGTCCAGTAAGACGCAAACAAATACGCCGCCACACCATAGGATCCACCCAGGTGTCTATCATTTTGACTGAGTCTACCCTACTTGAGCACTAAAGTCACCAGCCATTATTACTATATCTGAATGCCTAACGTTTTGGAGGAGGTCCGAAAGCTTTCTGTAAAACTCATCTTTCACCTCGTATGAACTGCAGTCAGTGGGAGCGTAGGCAAATACGACGAAGAGGCAACGGTGAGTGTCACTATCTTTACGAGTCCTTACGTTTCTGTTTAGTCGGACAGAGTACAAGCGACTATCGACTAGGATCCAGTCTAGGAGAACTAGTTCTGCCCTAGGACTCATCGGTGTCTCCAAAGCATTGCTCGTGTATCATGGGACAACCGTATAAGCAATATTGTAGTTAGGAAACGAGTATTAGGCAGGAATGGCAAATCAATATATGAGGTAATGAAATTTCATCAGTTGAGGTGGTTGGGACATGTGTTGCGTATGCCCAGCCACGACGACGAGCTATGTTTTGTGGTGTAGGAGTAGGTTGGAAGAAAGCTAGGGGAGGCCAAACCAAAACATGGAACAAATCCATGAAATCACTGACAAGTGGACTGAGTCATGTTGGTAGATGTAGGCTACCTGGTTGGGGTCCGCGAGATGAGAGTAACCGATGGTTAGAGACCTTGAACGATACGGCTCAGAATCGTTTGCAATGGCGCAGGTGCATCCACTCTTTGTTTTCTCTCTAATTCTAACCTTCTGAATTCCTCAGAATCTCTATCTTTCTCCTTCTAAATTTATCTCACTGAATTATACTTCTCGAATCATATCTTCGCTCCCTAATCTTCTCCATTAATGCTAAAACTTGTACAATCGCTATCACTCTTGGATTTGAACTGACAGTTACGTCTCTGTGCTAATGTGATATGGCAACCTGAACTGATGTACTTACGTACGTAGTTCTGCGTTGTATGTCTGTCTGTCAATGAAATACCTACACCAGCGAGACCCCGAGAAGCAGCATCAGGACTTCCAGATACATGGGGAGTAAATCGAGTTGTCTCTTTATCTTGACATGGTGAGGTCAAGTGAATGACGCTGTTACGGGTATGAGAGCGGTTGTCACTTCCCGGCTGCCCACACCGTGGAAGGTTGTTTCTTGAGGAACCTGAAAAAGGGAGGTAGATTAGAGTTGGTCTTAACGACCTGAGAGCGTGACCGCAGAGCCCAAGGGACAAAGGCTTCAGGCCGGTCACGCACACCATTTTATGAAAGGTTTTTTGAGTATTAGCTTCGCTCTTTCTAAAGCCCTTAGTGGGCAGCCCTTACCCAAGGAGACGGAAATCCGTGAGGTAGGGTGAGGTGTGACATTTTTAGGGTCAACCTCTTCTAACCCTTTCTTCTTTGTAAGAAGGCAGCATCGCTGCAGATGCTGGTTGTCCGAGGGAAACAACTTACTGCTGTCACACCCATATGCAGTCAGCAGTACGACTTCGCCCTCAGACCTTGGGTAGCTGCTTTTAGTCTCATCGTTCTCCAATCGACCTGTCTGGCATGGTAGAACCTTGAGGAACATATGTTCCAGCCAGTATAGCTCGGTTGGGTCATCACGATAGGCAAGCCCGACCACCACGTCAAGGTAGCAGCTACGGTCGGGCATTATATATGGATTGTTCGGTACGTATCCAATCAGTCAGTCAGTTACAAGGTAGAACTTGGTACGTACGGACATCAGTCCAAGTCGCCCTACCACATTAACATAGAGAGATGGGATTTTCAATTCAAATCTCATAGTCGTGATGGTAGTAGAAGTATTAGTGGTAATAGAAAATATTAGGGTTTGAAGATATAACTCAAAAAGTATAATTCAGTGAATTAAATTCAAAAAGAGGTAAACCATCATGAGGAATTCAGAAGTTTAGAATTCGAGAGGATACAAAGAATGGATGCACCTGTGCCATTGCAAACGATTTTGAGCCATGTCATTCAAAGTCTCTAACCATCGTTTACTATTGTCTGGTGGGCCCCGACCAGGTACTCTACATCTACTAACATGGCTCAGTCCAGTTAAATATATGTATACTTGAATTTGCAGACATTGTCAAATGCTGACACCACATGACTAGTGTTCAGCCTCTACCACACCGACAGATAGGGTTTATTTTCACGACTCAGTACTACATATTTAAAATTACCAAACATTTATGTAAATGTATATGTATAAATGCACAAACTGGAATCTAGGCAACTTTGTGTCCAATTATATGACACTTATAAACTCACCATAATATAATACGTAGATAAACCAGCTTGATTTCCTGGTTTTTGAACTATGTCCAGTTCGTCCAATATTTCAGGATCTAAGTTAGTTACAACTTTCTGCATAATCTCTATAACTTCCCGTTGTTTAAGAGATGGTAAAAGATTGTTAAACCATTGATCTTCAGCAACCTCATTACGTTTATCTTTCATAATACCATCATCACCTTGTATCACAACTACTTTGATATTTGAATTAGGAAACATATTGGAAAACGCTTGTTTCAATCGTTTTTCGATATTATTACTGGCCTTTATTTTGCTGTGAAAATAGAAAAGCTTCTTAACACTTAATTTTAAATTCCCCAAGGAAAGACTAATAAAATTTCTTGCTTTTTCCATCATATCAAATAGCTTCGAGTATTCTTCATAACTCAGAGGATTATTCATCACTTTTTCACTGTGCTGTACGATTTTAAATTTGTTGTCGTCTTTATTGTTTGAAAATGTGAAGTCTGATTTATATTTTAGGTATGAGAGTTTTGCACTATTTCTCAATTGTTTAGGCAGACGGGGAAAAGGTATATCTTCAACAGTTGGTATGTCTAAGTTGTGTTTTTTGTAAACATGAATCACGGTGGATAACATTGCGTGAGCCACCTTAGGATCTGAAAATAGAAAATAAATTTTTAAAATATGAAGTAGATCATGAATTGAGTTCACGCTACAACTGAAACGAATGCAAGCAACAATTAATTTTCATATTAGGCATATAGTACCAAGCGAATTTATCCATTAGGTATGGTTATAAAACTACGTCAGTACATAATTTGGGTTTGTCTTATGCACTTTTGTTCACTATCTAAGCCGACGCAATATCGGCTCTATGGAGTGCATGAACAAACGTTGATATGAAGCTTATCATGTGAATGACACACAAAGCTGTTAAAATAGTGAGTTAAATCCGTAACGTGTGATGCATATAGTTGAAGTTAGGATGTAAAGAGGCAGATAATTGCGCAAAGCCTCTCGACTGAGCCCACCAAGGAATCTAGTTGGAATCATGAATGTGCCCCAAATCAAACAAAAGGTAAAAGCCTATCTAACAAATTTGTATTTCCATAGACTTGTTTTGAAGCAGAAAATATGAGCGAAATGATTTCAGAATCTCAGAACTTCAGTAAAACGTTTGTGCAACTGATTTCTAAATTTTATGATAAAAAACCAGTTTTTTATCTATGAACTGACACAATCAATGGTCAAGGTTAGTCAGAAGAAATCACATCTGATGCCAAAGCCTTAATGAATACCTCAAGACCATTACCCTTTAACAACTTCCTATTTAGGCTGTCAAGGGTAGTTGTTTACCAGGTTAACTAATAAACTTCAAATTGATCTATTCTTTACGGAATTAATCACGGACCTTTTAAAAATACTCCATTGCTATGCAAACAACCGTCCATTAACATCTATTCACAAAGCTATTTTCGTATTTTAACTTTAGCTACCTGTCATCATTCACAGACTTAGGTGACCTTTATTGGAGTGGAGACTTGTTACACTGCTGATCTTATAAGCATTTAAAGGACATAATATACACCTATGATAGATGATTTTTGGGTTTCGGAAAGTGAAACCTGTAGCCCTATTTGACGATTTGACACTGAATGCTTCAACATGCATTTGAATGGCTGTTTCAAGAGACCATGGATATTGGTTTTCAACTTACAGCCAGCTATAATTGAAGGTAGTATAGGATGATCGATGGCAGAAAATTCAGACGGCAATAAGGAAGATAAGTTCGATTATTGTTAATAAACCAGTATTTGACACATCAATAACAAACACTAGAATTCGTTTTGGGGAACTTGGTGGTCCTATTGACATGAGAAGGTGAATACAGAGCCTAAGTAATACGCGCTTAAAGATAATTACACAGACTATCGGAAACTCTGAACTTCGACCTTTTATCATTTATTCTATGGATTTATAAAGCCTTTCCCTGATCTTATTGTTTCTAATGTAAGATAGATGATTTCTTCAAAATTTCTTATGAAAATAGAACTGTAGATAGTCCTCAGAAAATATCTCACTCTTGAAATTTCCTGATAATGTTCAGAGTATGAACTCATCTTTGAACCTCAGGATCACTGTCTGTTCTACTTCCTTTCATTTTACATTCTTGACCGACGACTTTCTAGGCTTTATAAGCTTGGTTATGTGATAACGTTTGCCACCTGAAGATAAAAACACTCGAATAGATCAGATATCTTACAAGTAGCTAGTGAAATGTGGTCAACGTAGACTGCCTTTCTATAAAATAATAAATACATATGAAAAGAAGAAAGTTAATAGTATATTCAAAGCAGATTGGTGAAGTAAAAAATTAGGACAGTGATTCTGAGCTCTAGACGCTTTTACGAGCTAACATATTACGAGCACATAATTGTTGGAACTTCTAAAAAGAATTTAAATGGCTTCATAATATTCAAAAAGCAATAAACTGGAAGCATTAGATGATGCATACCTGTACAAGTAAAAAGTTCAAGCCAAATACGACTGATAGATTCGTGGACATCACTTAGATTAAATACACGCATCATCTCCATAGCTTGAATAGGTGTAGTATGAGACGTATTAAGCAATTGTTCATAGCCCTCTAATTCCGAAATAACGGTCTTGATGAGAAAAAAAGAAACGAGATATGCAATAAATTAGGCAGGAATTATACTTTGACCATTGAACAGAAATTACATAGTAATCAATACTGATCATAGGTGAAGCCAGAACCTAAAATCGACTTGTTACTTACAACTCCGAAACTCCATCTCACAAAATTCCCTTCGGAGTCGTGAATAACAAAAGTGATTGTCAAACACGATTCAGTTGACTATAACTAATTTGGTCAATTAAGGTTACGTAATTTCACCTTCGTGTTCCGTCAACTGCACATAAATCTGTTAGAAAGAGTGTGCATATTGCTTTCTTATTTTCCTGTGTAATGTTTGAAGACTCCCATTAAAAAGTGGAAATACAGAAAGATCAAAAACTTTTTAGGGATCAATAGAAATATCTGGCACATCAAAAGATGAAGTTACCAAACTAATTAGAATAAGAACTTAGCAACCAGATTTAATAAGGAACTTAGAAAACTATAGTTGTATTGGTCTATTTAGTAAAAATTGGTTTGCTACGAATCATTTTTACTGAGACCTTTGACAATTAAAAAATATTTAGTAATCATTTCGACCAACTATTTTGATAACGTGAAACACCTGATGATTTAAAATTTGAATGAATAATTGGACCTTTTCAGTCAAGATTCCAGATAAATAAAAATTTGAAATTGATGACTAAAGTTCGTGTGGTTGTAATCTATTTAACTTAAATACACTCAAATAAACAAAAATACGACGAATGCTCCACAGGGTGTCAGCTGGATAATTACTAGTTAATTAAAGGGTGAAATCTTGTTATCCATTTCTTTTTTAATTTTTTATCCCTTTTATAGATTGTTTCAAGCGTTTAAAAGATAACAAAGGAAGGTGAAAAAATGTAAATAGAGAAACACGTTCAGTACTTACAGAAATACAAAGGTTAAATACGTCCACATCAGTGTAATAGACTTCAACTCCTTCTGCTTAGTCTCCAAATACTGAGAGCAAATATTTTATGAGCGCTAATTGAAAGGTGCACATTTCTCTGCATATGTCATATCAACAATAAGTAAAGTATGGATTGGTATAGATTTCTGGTATTGTTGGCATTACTCTATATCTTACTTAAACTACTGACAATATAAAATATGAGAGTAGACAGCATAGGTGAAAGTTTTCCAGCCACTTATAAAACTCAGGTCTACAACTCTATTAAATTAATTATTATCTCTCTCCAAAACTCCATCTCTACAGTCAACCGGTCAATAAAAACCCAAGAACTGACACAAATCTATATCGTTTCAACCACGCACACACACTAATGCAGTAAAAAAATCAAGTGAGCATAAACAGTAATACAACCGATAATGGGAAACTACACATTGAAAAAAGAATTTATTCACCGAACGAAAGGAACAGTATGCTAGAAGAAACAATAATACATCAAAACCACCGTCACTAGTTCATGGCCATATTTATGGAGATACTAATTCACCAGGAGCCTTTCTAACGCTACTGATGGTCATCAGCCCGGATAAACGACAAGGATTGGGTATGGGGTTATCCAACGCATACCGAAGAACACTAACTAAACAACAAAACACTAACCTATAAAAATAATTCAAACCATTTGAACTCTGGACTGACAGTTCGAAGGTCTTCATTTAGAAGAGTTATGACGCATCATGATGAAAGCCGAGTTTCTTCAGAAGCCACGAAGTCGATGCCCCTTCTGATAATCAAAGCAACAATTATTATAGGTACATGGAATATCCGCACAATGTAAAAGACCAGTAGAACTGTTCAAGTTGGTGAGGAAATGGAAAAATAAAACCTAGTGTTACGTGGATTAAATCAAACTATATTGAACTCAGGCTGGACAAAAACGATTCGCTTCTGGAGATGCTGTTGTACTCCGGTTACAACGAGGAAAACGCTTCACATACACAAGGAGTTGCATTGATGTTGTCCAAAGAAGCACAAAGAGCACTGATAGGGTGGGAATCTCGTGAACACAGGACCATGAAAGCCTTCTTCAAAGCAAGGAAAGAGGGTACCACAATGAACGTAATCCAATGATTTGCGCCCACCAACTTTAACAATGAGGACGTTGAAGACCGATTCCATTAGAGGCTGCAGTCAATCGTCGAGAAGTGCCGAACAAAGCATTTGACTATTCTGACGGGAGACATGAACACCGAGGTTCGAATGGACAACAGTGGATATGGGGACAACATGGACTGAGAAAAAGGAACGAAAACAGTGAGAGATTCGCAAATCTATTAGCCTTCGATAAAATGGTTTTAGGCAATCCCATAGTTTCACGCAAACACACACACAAAGTTGTATGGGTTTCATCGGACCACACTACACACAACCAGTTCAATCACAAACGAATCAATTAAAAGTTCGAAAGCACCATCTGGGATAAAGTTGGACTACTTGAACTTCATAGATGATCTAGCTCTCCTATCTCACACACAACAACAAATGCACATGAAGGCGGTCAGTGTAGTGGTAGCCTCTGCAGTAGGTCTTGATATACACAAGGTAGACTAAAGAACAAACTGTGTCGAGAATCGGAGACAGAAATGAAAAGAATGAATAACAGTTGGAGTAGAACTGGATAGGAAGGTCCAGGACAGAGTTAGTTGGAGAATGCTAATTGGCGTCCTATGCTCCAATAGTAGGAACAAGCCTTAGTAAGTATTGAGTATTGTATAAACAAACCCGCGTTCAAAAAATTAACAGCAAATATTGGTAAAGACGTATATGTGTAATTAGCAGCAATAAATAAACCAAATTATGGAAAGTATGATGATTTAGGAAGTTTACCTTAGTTACAATGATAGCTATTTTCACAATATCCAAAGGAACAGGACGGTGAGATACTAGAGAAACAAGACAATACGGACAGAAATTTAGATGAAATATACATGAAAACATTAATTTTTAAAAGACATGTTTTATTTGCCTTAAGTAATTCCGAAGTTCATTAAACTCAGGGCAATTTTTTCAGATGCTTTATCAGAATAAAAAGAAGTATAAATATTATTAAGTACTGTATTATTGACAGTGATACGTTAATAGGTGGATTGTTGATGGCATAACATTATGAACCTAACTACTTTCAGGACATTACCTAGAAGTTTCTGAAAACAAAAATGAGATTCGACGATCACCTCGTTATTGATTCAGAACCAATTTAAGTTATATCCTTTCCTGAGAAACGTTATGAACACAAGAATTATATTGTGGTGTGAAACAGAGCAGAAAAGCATGGAAAATGAAAACAGGAGTGAAGAAATTACAAGGAAACGCTTGTTTGACATGATCAATCAAAGAGAACATACAACATCTATCGTTGACTTTGCTACATACTATGAAGTTTCTAAACACAGAGCTACCAAGTTCAACGAAGTTCATAATCAAAGAGAAATAGATGATTAGGAATGTCAGTCAATCAGTTAGTTACAACGTAGAACTTCGTACGTATGTGCATCAGTTGAAGTTGCCATAACACATAGACAAGGAATTGTCGATTTTTATCTCACAGTAAATTCCACCTGGAAGCCCTCTGGGGTTACTGCCGATCCCAAGTCAGGATAAAGAAGGAGGATTGAGATGTAGGGTTGGAGAACCCATGCCGGAAAAGTCTAACTTGCCAAAAAAACGCTAACAAGAAAAATCAACTCAAATCATTTTAACTCTGTCCTGGCAGTTGGAAGGTCTTCTTTCAGAAGAGTTATGACGTCTCATGATGAAAGCCGATTTCCCGCGGAAGTCAGGGGGCCGATGCCCCTTCTGACAACCAGAACCCTTCCACGGTGTGGACAGACGAGATGTAACATCCGCCCTCATACTCAAAAAAGCACATGAGACCAAATGGGTCACATTCAAATCCTTTCTGCACCTCTTAATAACTATCTTATGCCCTCGACCAACCCTTTTTTTCGAACGTTTGTCAACATGGAAGGAATCGATGAAATCACTGACAAGTGGACTGAGAGATCCCGACCGAAGCTGCTACCTTGACGTGGTGGTCGGGCTTGCCTATCGTGATGACCCAACCGAGCTATACTGGCTGGAACACATGTTCCTGCAGGTCCTACCATGCCAGGCAGGTCGATTGGAGAACGATGAGACTAAAAGCAGCTACCCAAGGTCTGAGGGCGAAGTCGTACTGCTGACTGCATATGGGTGTGACAGCAGTAAGGTGTTTCCCTCGGACAACCAGCATCTGCAGCGATGCTGCCTTCTCACAAGGAAGGAAGGGTTAGAAAAGGTCGGCCCTAAAAATGTCACACCTCCCCTACCTCACGGATTTCCGTCTCCTTGGGTAAGGGTGCCCACTAAGGGCCTTTAAGAACGGAGCTAATCCTCTAAATACCTCTCATAAAAAGGCCGTGCGTGACCGGCCTCAAGCAGTTGTCCCTTGGACTCTGCGGTCACGCACCAACACTAATCCATCTTCCTTTTCAGGTTCGTCAAGAAAAAACCTTCCACGGTGTGGGCAGCCGGGAAGTGATAACCGCCCTCATACCCGCAACAGCACACGAGACAAAATTGTTCAAAATCAAATCCTTCCTACATTCCCTAACACCTCTCTTATCTCCACAACTAACTCTTCTCACATTCATTTATTACAGTGCACAGCTAATGCAAACGATGTGAGTTTGCGAAACGTCGTTCCTGGTCTCCTTAAACCCCGTTCCAAACTACATGTTGGAGCATTCAATGTACGGACATTGTGTCAAATAGGGCAACAGGCGTCATTAGCTAGGACTTTAGAATCTCGTTCCATCGATGTGTGCTGCGTCTCGGAAACGCGCATACAGGATCCGAGTAGCATCACTCATTTGACCTCACCATGTCAAGATAAAGAAGCAGCTCGATTTACCCTTCGTGTATCCGGTAGCCCTGATGCTGCTTCTAGGGGCCTCGCCGGTGTAGGTATAGCACTGAGTCGTAGGGCAGAACAATCTCTCCTTGACTGGATCCCTGTAGATAGTCGCTTGTGCGCCGTCCGACTCAACGGGACAGTAAGGACTCGGAAAGATAGGGACACTCGCCGTTGCCTCTTCGTCATATCAGCCTACGCCCCCACTGACTGCAGCCCAGATGATGTAAAAGATGAGTTTTACAGAAAACTTTCGGACCTCCTCCAAAAAGTTAAGCGCTCTGATATAGTTATAATGGCTGGTGACTTCAATGCACAAGTAGGTAGACTAAGTGAGAATGAAAGACACCTAGGTGGATGTTTCGGTCTCGCGGCTCAAAGAACCGTCTGTTGCAACTGTGCTCAGATAACCAACTATTTCTAGCAAACACTAATTTGAAGCATAAGGAAAAACACCTTTTGACCTGGCGACCCCCGAAGTCGTCTCAACGTTGGACACAACTAGATCATATCGCCATCAGCCACCGATGGAGGGGTTCGATAGAGGACTGTCGCTCGTTCTGGGGCACATGTTTAGATTCAGATCATGCCCTAGTGCGAGCACGTATTTGTTTGAGGCTTGCTGGACGTAGGAAAGACACTGTGAGGAAGCCTCTTAGGGCTTTACTTGATGATAACCAAGCTAAGAAAATATTTCAGGAGGAACTAGAAAAACAGTTGGGCGATCATGCAAGTGATTCCCATCCGGAGTCAGGTTGGAATGATATAAAGAAGGCTGTGGAAACAGCAGTGATATCTGCTAGCAAGGTAAACCATAAGGCTAGGATGAAGGTG